AGGAAGTGGTGGCTGGAGGCTGGGACGATCCTGCGGGCAAGGGCAGGCAGTCAGAGTGCAGGCAAGGGGGCCCAGGCCCCAGCCCACCCCCCACCAGCCTCACCATGTGCCCCCAGGTCCCAGCTCTGAACACCCCCTTCCCCAGGACCACACGGGCCTGTGTGTTCACTGAAGAAGGCAGAGAAAACAGGACAGGCGCGTGTGGCCCTGGAGCTGGTTGTCAGGGGCCGGAGAGGTGTGCACGTTGACACCCGGGCCCAGGGCTGGCCTCGAGGCGGTGGAGAATTACACGCCAGACAAACAACACGCGTGTGCAGGCCAAGCCCACGAGCTTAAATGCAGACGGCCGCCAATACCCGAGGCCTCACCCGCTCTGCCACATCTGAGGCCTCCCCCTCCCCTCCCCCTGCAGCCCCCACTCAGCCCAGGCTGCTCAGAAGCTGAGGAGGGGTGTGTGGAAGCCCCGCAGAGACAGAAGGAGCAGGAGAGGTAGCCAAGCCCGAGGGGTGGGGCAGGGTTCAGAGGAGGGCGGCTGGGGGTGACGCTGGGGGCCACGGACTATGAAGCACCTCCTCACCGGTACATGAGGGTGTCGTCCTCGCTGCTGTTGTACTGGATTTGGAACATCCACACAGGGTCCGCCGGCCGCCCTGGCCCCCAGCTCACTAGCCCTGAGGTGGCGGTCACCTCCGTCACCTGCACGGCTGGCTCAGACTCCAGCGTCCCCTCTCCCTCGGCAGCAGTGCGGGCTGAGGCGGCGATGTCCGAGGGCCCCGGGCGGGCCCCCTCGGTACTGCCGTTCCCTCCGTGGGGCAAGGCCAGCACTCGTAATTCTACCCGCGCTGTGGCCTCGCCAGCAGGGTTGGTGGCAATGCAGGTGTAGCCCCCCGCGTCCGCGGAACCCGTCACCCCAATCTCCAGGGTCCCGTTGGGAAAAGCCCGGGCTCGGGAGGAGTTGCCGACCAGCCGGTCGTCAGGGCCGACCCAGTGCATGGTGGGCGCAGGGTCACCGAGGGCCCGGCACCGCAGTGTGGCCCGCTGGCCCTCCAGCACCCAGAGGCGCTGCGTGTGGCGGGCAATGAGGGGCGGCTCACAGGAGAACTCGCCCTCAGGCACCGTCCAGAAGTAGCGACCGGCCAGGCTGGGCGGGGAGGCGCAGGTCTCCAGGTCATCGGGCCGGGCGAGCCGCCGCAGCCACAGCAGTTCGCAGTTGCAGTGCAGGGGGTTCCCACTGAAGCTCAGCACCAGCGGGGCAGGCGAGGCCTCGGCGTTGCGCCCCCGGGAGAAGAGCGGGTCGGGCGCCAGCGTGGCCAAGCGGTTGGAGGTGAGGTCGAGGCGGGAGAGCTGGCCGAGTTGGGCAAAGGCGCCCGGGGGCAATGCGTCGATGAGGTTGTGGTCCAGGTTGAGGGTGTGCAGGGCAGGCATGGCGCCGATGCCGGCCCAGGGCACCTGCCGCAGGTTGTTGTAGGACAGGTCCAGGTCCTCCAAGCTGTCCAGGAAGTCGTCGAAGGCCCCCGGCGCAATGCGGCCCAGCTGGTTGCCGCTGAGAATGAGGTGCTGCAGGTTGACGGGGCCCCGCAGGCTGCCAGTGCCCAGCTCCACCAGCCTGTTGGCATCCAGGTGCAGGGAGCGCAGGCTCTCCAGGTCCCCGAAGGCACGGGCCCCGATGCGGGTGATGGCATTGCGGGACAGTGTCAGGTCCACCAGCCCCGTCATGTTGCGGAAGTCTGGCGGCCCTAAGGCCTGGATGAAGTTGTCAGCCAGCCGCAGCTCCACTGTGCGCCGGTCCACGTTGGGTGGCACAAACAGCAGGCCTCGGTGGGCACAGAGGGTGCTAAGCGACTCGGACAGGTTCTGGCAGACGCAGGGCAGTGGGCAGGCGGCCGCTCCACTGGCCAGCAGCAGCAGCAGGAGCGGCGGGGCCATGGTGAGCGCCCTGTAGGGAAGGGTCACAGCCCAGGCACAGGTGGGTCTGGCACAGGTGCCCACTTGCCCCAAGACCCAGTCTCAGGGGCCAGCTTCAAGAGCCTGGCCTGGTGGTGGGGTCAGGGTCAGAGGCCCAAGGGGTCCCCCAAGGCTGAGAGAGGGCTGGAGCCTGCAGGGCCAGGGCCCCCAGAGTAAAGGTCACATTTCCCAAGCAGTTAGGGGGAGTCCGGGCTCTGGGTACAAGGTGAGGCTTGAGGCAGGAAGCGGAGGTGGCCATGAGAGCAGGGAGGGTCCCGGAACTTCCTTTCCCCGTGTCCCCTGGAATCTCTGGCATCCCTTCGGCGCCATCCCCTCCCCCGCCTGCTAAGGTGCCCCTCCCCAACCCCTCCCGTGGCCCCTTGCCCCTCCCTGGCCAACCCCCAGTCTGTGCCCCGCGGCCCCCTCACCTGGTGTCCGCAGCTCAGGGGGCGCGGGCC